AAATCCACAAATCAAGATCAAGAATACAAACACTACAACATTTTATGTGTTTAACCACCCCAGAAAAGTGTAGCCAAAACTATGAAAAAGTGTGGTCTTTGATCAAACGCCACACTTTTCAACATTAGGCTACACTTTTGTAGGGGTGGCCTAAACTTGTGTAACCCTACCCTAAGGCCACATTTTTCAAGTGTTGCTTTAGAAAACAGTTCGTAAGCGTTGCCTTAGGCCAAAAAGGGCCACGCTTGTCACCCATACTATGACAACAATTTTCATGATCTCAAACTACACTTTTAAAGTGTGCCTTTTCTATCTTATAGGCAACAATTTAAAAGTGTGGCCTTTTTTATCCCCTCTAAAACAAACATTTGTGAAATGTTGCCACAATTTTATTTTGCATATATTCCGTAACCATAAAATATAATATTATCCTATTTAGATGGTCTTAAGCATTAAACTATCTAATAAACAACTCAAAATAATTTTAAATGTATAGATTTGCAATAATCTTCAATAAACAGCACAAGTAGTATAATACACATATTGAAATAACATTTCAAAATATGCATTTGCAATGAACTGAAAATAATAATAATTTGTATTTAAACATTATTATTCAAAAAGTCTTTCATTGATATATCATTGACTTTGAGGTCACCATCTCAAATTGGATCTTCCGCATTTTCCTACATATTCATAATATGAAATTTAAAATTACAAAGAAATCAATTAATAGCATGTATTCATATAGTATCATCAAATAATACAATGCCATGAATTTAAAAAAGAATTAATCATGAAGAATTAAAGGAATATCATTAAAACTTAAATGGAAAATGAATAGTGTTTGATGCGAAAAAGTGAAGAGCGCTAAACAATTTCTTGGACTTTGTAAAAGTTCGCTTCAATGATAACTCAATGAATTCATACACCTCAAAAAAGAAAGCATTGGTCAGCGATTTAGCTAGAAGAGGAAAACTATGAGTAATTTCAACTTATAAGTAAGCAAATGAAACCTACATTTTACACCAAACTTCTAAAATAAAACTAAAATATATTTAAGAGGTTTCAGATGAGAGAAAATCCTTAAGAAATCAACACCACCACATCAATGGCAAGTGAAAACCTTTAGATGTTTCCGAACGTGGAATACAGTTCAAATTCACTAAACCTAAAGCTACTTCAAAACGTACATCCAATTCGACAAGCAATAATCTAGACGTTTAGTAAATTAGGGGTACTGCAACAAGAGCACTGCATCACTATATTTTTTCTCCCTTTGTCTCTTTTAATAGCTAGAATTCTAATGACTATAGCTTAGACTTACATATTGTAGCATATTTTTGCTGTCACACTAAAAGGAAGTAATGTTCTTGATATTTCCATACATGCAAAGCCATGAAACTGAAATAGTGAACCAAAAATTGCACTATGATATAAGTAAATAAGATACTTATTTGTAAGGGGAAATGAAGGTAATTTTATTGCCTACCAATTTACTTGGATCCATGTAAACATACAAAAGAGATTTCATTACGGGATACTTCTTCCATATGGCAATGTCAAGTCATGGCTGAACCTTGAGAATAGCCACCAATGCTTTCAACCTGCAAGAGACAAACAAATAATAATGTAGCAATCACCATTATACTAACATTGAAGATACCAATATAGTTATACGCTTGTAAAAATTGGTAGTCTTTCAAAATTTTAAGAGATTGTTATAAAATATTATAGTGTGGATGTCCACTACACCAAGAAGTTACTCTCACCCATTATCTCCATTACTTACCTCAATTATGAAGATAACCATAACCTCCATAACCTCCAAAACCTCCAACTTTATAACCATTATTCTTGTAACCTTTCACTTCCATAACCTCCTCCATTATATGCATGTTAATGTCATGTTTATGACTAACCTTTTGTATGCCGCTATGTTACACTATAAATAGATGCATAATGGTTCATATTTTAGACACTTGATTGTTTGGAAGAATAAGAAAAGCTCTCATCTCTTGTCTTCCTATTTCTATTATCATCTTCAATATTTCTTGTCTTATTTTGTTTTAGTTTTACAACACATTACCAGCACGATTGTTCTACTATTGAAGGATTGAAGCAAAGTAAATATAAAGAAGATAAAAATATTTGTATTTATTTTTCTCTCAGAAACAAGGTAAATTTACTATTATAATCTATTTAATATTTTACTTTTGATTATGCATCATTAGTTTTCTTACCATCTCAAAATCATATGAGTCCAACAAGTTGCTTTTACTTTGAGCAAACTTTTAATTTGATCACTTATATATTTAAAACGTAAAATTAGTTTTGTAAGTTAATAATTTGTAAATAAATTGTTCTTGATGATCTTGTTTTATTAAAAGATAAGTTGTTGAGTTATGTGGCATATACATATTGATTGGATTATCATTATTGGTTACTTTTGTACCTCTTTATTTTTCTTTATCTAAACATTTACTTGTTGAGTTATTAATATATTGTTTTTACTAACAAAGTTTGTTTTGTGGTTATTTTAAAATAGTTAGTAAATTATGTTAAATCTTCATAACAATATTGAGAAGGTATGTTAAAAGGTTTAATTCATTTTAACTTGGGACTTTTACATGATTCCAACATGTTGTTCTAATTAATTGATTTTGTTCATTTTTCTTATGATTTAAGTCAAATTCAGATTATATTTATGAGTTTCGATATTATTTTTTTTGGTAACGATGTGATTTATTAAGACAATGATTGAGCGTAAGATGATGAATTCAAGTTTCATCGCACCAAATGTGTAAGACATCGAGTTAAAGTCTCGGTGCGTCATGATAATAATATGTTGGGTTCAAGTCTCATTGATTTATGGGCTAAGGCTTCTTTATATGGATAAGACATTGGGTTTAAGTCATAATGCACTATAGTGATAATATGATGATGACTAAGGCAAAATGATGAACTTTTGGTGAAAAGTCATAAAATCCACCCAATTGATTTGCTTCATTCTCTTATGTAAATGTTGTAGCAGTGTATAATATGTCTGAAAGATGACAAGTGATTTAATGTATGAATATAGGCGTAGTAAAATGTTAATGATCATCATTATGGTAATTAAAAGGAAGAACAATATGGATTCTTAAGATGATCCTTCAAAATGTGAAGGTAATTTTTATTCATTAAAGTGGTATGAAAATTTATTGGCCACATTGTTGTTGGTGCAACCCAATTTGAAAAGTTTTGTAAATCCTCCATCAAAATAAAGGAATACAAAGTAGTACATTTGGTACATTTGACCTCTTAAAGTGATGTTGAGGTGAGTCACATAAATTTGATAAATGTGAAAGCATGTCAATGAGTTTCTAATAAAAACTTATGGAGCATGTTCAAATGGTTATGATCCATTTCTTAAAGAAAATGTGACTTGTGTTCTTATGGATAAGAAAATGTTCATATATTGTTGGATAAATGTCACATCTCACCTCTATGGGAGGTTTGAGAGATTGAAAAGAAATATTATGACATAAATGGTCATTTAGTCATATACTTTAAGTACTACACAAATATTGTGGTATGTTAAATTATGAACTATTGAAGGACAAAAGAAGAATAATTCTTTCTTATAAAGGTTGTGGCCATGACCAAAATAAATATTGTTGTGTGGTAACACAAATTTGTCATTGATTGTCAAGAAATAAGTCTTGCATTATATAATTCTAACCATGACAATAATAATAATTTTCTCCTTGAATGAGATGGTCACCATAAGAATGGCGTTGTGAAATTTGTGGTAGTACACAAAATTAATTGAGAGTTCGGAAAGAGCTAATTTGTTACTATCCGTAGGAATGAAATTGTTCATAATATTGGGGTTGTAGTAAGTCTCCAAAGAAACTTTTAAGTTTCGGAAGAATTGAAAAGAAAAAAATATTCGGAAAGAGCTAATTTGTTACTATCCGTAGGAATGAAATTGTTCATAATATTGGGGTTGTAGTAAGTCTCCAAAGAAACTTTTAAGTTTCGGAAGAATTGAAAAGAAAAAATATTATATTGAGACTATAAATTATGGGAAGATTTAATATCTTCAAATTATTACAACCAAAGTGGGTTATAAATATTTACGTATAAGATTACCCATTTTTTCTCGTTGTTTGTTGTATACAAATATGGACATGATGATGGAATCACATGCAAAAGTAAACTAGAAGTTTACTAGAATAAATATTAGTTGGCATAATCGATTGGTCATTCCGATTCAAATGTGATGCAAAAGAAATTGAGAATTCATGTGACTATATGTTTGAAGAAATAAAAAATTCTTCAAGAATTCTCTTGTGTTGCTTGTTCTAATGATAAAATGATCATTGTACCAGCTAAGGTTGAGATTGTATCCCCTGAAATTATTTGGAACATATATGGGCCCATTCACCTGCCATGTGAATCGCTTACTATTATGATTTAATAGATGTATCTATGGTATGGTCACATGTGCATTTGTATCAACTTACAAATTGATTTTGTAAGATTGTTTGCTCAAATTATTAAATTAAGAGCACAGTTCCAAATTATAAAATTATGTTGATAATACTAGTGGTTTAGAAGAAATTGTTTACCTCCAATTATAGATAGACCACTGATTATGAGAAGAAATCTCTCAAATAAAATTTGGTACGAGATGAGTTTATTTAACATGTATGCATCAAGACAACAAGGTTCTCCAATCACAATTGGTTCAGGGTCAGGAACCAAATAACTTCCATCTAAAAAATTTGATGTGCGCACATGATTTTATTGTTCCACCACGCACAAAGATGGATCCCCAAATGAGGTTGGGGGTAAATGTTAGATTTCCTAACATTCGGGGGATATATGTTTAACAGTTGAAAATTATGTGTGGGGTGAATTATGTAGATCCTCGTTAAAAAAAATGCGAACTTGAAGTTCAAGAGATAATTCATCTGTAAAATGTTGCAGATAAATTACCAGATGTATTTGCTGACTCAATATTTTAATTAAGCTGCAAATACTCCAATAAATAGGCCTTGAAGGACAGAGTCTATGATATGCTAGAAGCGTGATAGACTAATCGATTCCAAACGTAAAACTCCTTGAGGAAGGAGAGGAGCAAATATCAAAATGGTCATGATAATGAGGTAAGTGCGTTGAAAGAAAACTATGACATAACTTCATAAAACCTTGACAAAGGTTCAGGTACCTGAAAATGATGAAAAATGAAGAGATCTCGATAAGTTATGTCGTATTGGAATCGATATCAAAATGATTTTCGACGGTATCTTTGATATGAAGTAGCACTCAATGCTATAAATGGTTACGAGGATCTTAAATTTGAATTTGTCATATAGTGTAGACAAATAAATGATTGACACTATTCAAGTATATTTTGTTTCACTTAAAAAAGTGATGTTTTTGATCTTATAGTTCATGGATCAAAATATAATGTCAGTGTGGTACAAATAAATTATTGTGCGAAAGTATAACCGTAAGATATAAAGTGCGGTTTGTACCTCGGGGTATAAATAGTTTTCGCAAAAATCCCGACATTATTAAGTGGAGATATATTCTCCGGTGGTGGATGCAGTGATTGGTGCACTTATAGATTGATGGTTGTGCAATGCTAGAAGATTGTTTGATATACATAACGAAAGTTATGTGAAAGGATCGTCATATTATCATTCAAGTTATGATAGAAAACTAACAAAGCAAGTGACTTAACACATAGAAGATGTGTGATTTTCTTTCAGAGAAAAGACGAGCTTCATTAAAATTGAAATGATCAATCCCGAGTCAGAAATGATTTGATTATGTAGATGCAGAATATTTATTTGATCTGCATAAAGCTCGATCACAAATGGAATATTTATTTACATATGGAGACACAACAATATCTTGGAAATTCAAAGAATCACATTAGTAACCACTTCTTCAAATCATGCAAAAATAATATTGATCTATGAATTAAGTCGTGAGTGTGTTTGGTTGGAATCATGATCTATCATATTCAGAAAATATGTGATTTTCTTTTGAAAAGGATATTCCAGCCACCATATACGAAAACAATATATAGCTCAATTGAAGAGAGGATACAATTAAAGGAGACCGAACAAAGCATATTTCACCAAAAGTCTTTTTCACATATGATCTTCAACAAAATGATGAGATTGACGTTCAAAGACCCATTCAAGTGATAATCTTGTAAACTTATTCACTAAGGATTGCCAACATCAATATTTGATAAGTTGTGATATAAGATTGGAATGCATCGTCTCCGATATATCAAGTAAAGTTTTTATAGGGGGGAGAAAAATATGTGTTGTACTCTTTTTCTTAACCATGGTTTTATCCCAATTGGGTTTTCCTGGTAAGGTTTTTAACGAGGCAACTTTCAAAGCGTATTAAAATATATGTGTACTCTTTTTCCTTCACTGGGATTTTTTCCCACATGGTTTTTTCCTAGTAAGATTTTAACGAGGCATATTATCTATGGACATCCAAAGGGGAGTGTTATAAAATATTATAGTGTGGATGTCCACTACACCAAGAAGTTACTCTCACCCATTATCTCCATTACTTTCCTCTATTATGAAGATAACCATAACCTCCATAACCTCCAACTTTATAATCATTATTCTTATAACATTTCACTTCCATAACCTCTCCATTATATTCATGTTAATGTCATGTTTATGACTAACATTTTGTATGCATCTATGTTACACTATTAATAGATGCATAAGAGTTCATATTGTAGACACTTGATTATTTGGAAGAATAAGAAAAGCTTTCATCTCTTGTCTTCTTATTTCTATTATCATCTTCAATATTTCTTGTCTTATTTTGCTTTAGTTTTACAACAGAGATAAAAGTAGTTTACTTTTACCATTGTACAAACAATAAACCATTTGGAAACTATAGATCAAGTAGAAGTCCCACAGTACAGTAGAAACTTGTCAAGGCAAAATTTGATAAATTTGGATCAAAACTTAAACATACTTGTTGCAGTCAAATTGAGCTTTGAGAACGTGCAATACAGTTGAAATATTGAGCATTCCAATTACGTTTGTAATAATTGTCTGCAAAATGCCAACAAATCATAAATGTGCTTTCAAGGAATCTCACTTCAAAGAAAAGTAAAAATTACTAGGATACTTTTGCAATTAATAAAACTTAGCAATATTATACCATAAAAAATAGGGGAAGCAGGACAAGCGAGGTGAAAAATCTGATCAACTGCAATCAAAAATGGGTCAGCAATATTTGCATCAACAATGGCTCAGTAACATATGCATAAGAAGAGATCGACACAAGAATATAAACATGAGGATTCCTGCAAAATCAGAGTGATAAGCACTATGCTTTTAAAGAGAGCGTCAACAACAATTTTGAGCATCATTGTATTATACTACAATCTCATCAGCTTAGTAATCTTCATTGTTGTTATCATGCATACAAACACCACCTTTATATATTTCAAACATCACTTCCCTAAAGACTGGGAAAAGCACAAACTAACAAATAGAACAAAGAATATATGAAGAGACTTGTTTCGGTATCGCAATACCTGCCCCCTTGGCGTTTAATAGCAATGCAAGAACTCTAAGACTTGGGATCAAGTATAGAATATAGATAATCGTTAACTTTTTAGTTCTTTTTTATCTGATCCTTTAAGGTTAAGGTTGAACCATCGTTTCTTTGATGACTTGTCTTTGGAGTCTGAGCTTCCATCTTCCCCTGGACTATCAGTTTTATAATCTTCGCCAAGGACTTTACTGCTACTTCCATTACTGAAATGCCCGCTCCCACTGCCACTTAGATTAGCAATTGACCTTGAAACTGTGAATGAAGAGTGGATGTTGTCTCTTTGTTTCAGCATCTCATCAACCTTTACAAACAACAATATTTAATCAGTACAAAGGAACAATCAGGTAATAGAAGGAACTAAGCAAAGTAGCATCTAAACAATAAAGAGATGCATTAATGATAGCTCTAAATTCTAATTAACTATTCTCGAGTCGCTAATTTTTTCATGAGAAATAAACTTGAAGAACTTCGAGGGGAATTAACATCTCAATATGAGCAGATTTATGAAAATTATATTTAGACGATGAGACTAGCAGCAGAAACTCACAGACAACTTCTCTTGGTTGTATATGTTGGTTACTTCCTGGAAGTATGCCAATGCATATTAACATCACATGGAAAATAGTACAATGAGCATATCTGAAACAATCGATCACCGATGATAAATATTGTCCAGAAGTAAACCTTTCTATATTCAATTTCAAACTGCCGAAGCTCATTTCTCTTCCTCAAAATCTGAGCCTAGATTTCCTTGAGCTTAACAGTAGTATCCTCATATAACTCGGCACAAAGAGCCTCAATTATATAAGTAGCTGGCTTAAAGAAATTATCTCCTGCAGAAATCAGATCAAAATTCAGCCTTGAGGATTTAGCATTGGACAATCAATCAGGAATTAGAAGGTGTTTTGCAGCAACAAAAAACAATTATTCAGCAATATAAGTAGCTTCAACCATAAACAGCGAATATGTGAGTGCCATCTTTTAGTTCTGAGACCTCACAAGGTTGACGGCCCTCCAGTTTCTTAAAGAAAGCAACCTCAGGGTCCTTAGCCATTGCTAACTACAATATTTCAAATTATTTATTAGTTGAACTCAAACAGATCTGCCAAAAATTGACAAATCAAAATTATTGTTTTTCAATCGCGAAATCGACAAACCAAAATCCGTGCTTTACCATGGAGAAATGGACAAATCGAAAGAAGTGATTTCATTGAAGATACCCTTCAGATGCGTGATAAAATTGATGAATAGTTGAGAGGCACCGTGAGAAACCGGTATGAAAGAAAGAAAAAATGCCAGAACAAAATTAGGGGCACTCTTGATTTTTAGAAATCGGGGGAAAAATAGTTATATAGGGAGAATATATTTTTTTGTAGGTAAAGTTTTTTTAGACTTAATAGGGCACACTTGTAAAGTGTTGTTTTTAGAGTTTCAAATATAGCACACTTAAAAGTGTGGTCATATATATAAATAAGTGTTGCCAATTATTTTATTATTTGGGAACGCTTATAACGTGTAGCCAATAATTACAAAGAGCACACTTTAAAAGTGTTGCGAAAGTTTTGGTGGCCAAAAATCGTATACAAAAGTTACGCCTTGAAAGCGTTCCCTTAGGTACTTTTGGCAACACTTTTTAAGCGTTGTCTAGATTTGGTGTGATCTTAGACGAAATTTGTTGTAGTGAAAATTTCAGATCAAGCTCAAAGCCCTTGAATTCAAGTATAAAGTCAAGATCAAGTTCAAATTTATCAAAGATTCAAGAACAAGCTCCAAAGGCCTTTGAATCAAAGATTAAGTCCAAGAACAAATTAAAAATTCAAGATCAAGTTCAAGAGCCCTTGAATTTTATCCGAAAAGGTGAATTCACAAGAATCATAGAGATTGTAACACCCGTACTTTGAAATAATAAATACGATTGTTGCGGTACTTTTCCGTTCTTGATTATCATTTTTTCAGATCCATTTGGAGCTTGATTTTGTCGGTTCATTGTAGCAGTAGCATACTTGTTGTTGACAAGGTAGTGAAGATGGAGATTACATTGGCATCTCGCTGGCGATGATGATAAGGCAGAGAGAGAGAGATAGAGAGGAGGTTTGCCAATAGTCTTTTGCACACACTGGTGGCGTTGTATAGGACTACTGCTGAACGGAGTTCTCTAGTGCGTGCGCTAATCATTTTTCCCTCACCGATGGAGTGGTGCAGCAACAATGCTCTTTTCAATGATGTCCTTCAACCTTGACAGAGAATAGAAGAAGAGAGAGGATGATGAGATACACAACAGTCTTAGTAGTCTAACTTGAGTGACGTCGTGAGGGATATGGGTACATCGGTGGTGGTTATACATTGCATGATGGTTTCATCCGCTGGAGATGGCAAGACAGTGGTGTTTATGGTGGTCCGCTGGCCATCACAATGATTTTGGGTAGTGAAAGGAAAAGAAAGGGAAGAGTTCGATGCTGGTCTTTTTAAAAATGGAGAAATAATGAAGTTATTACGGTTAGGGTGTATTGGTTTAAAATAGGAAAGAAATGGGTTAACAAATCTGGACCATTGCATCATTAAGATGAACGACTGAGGCTGAGTCTTGGATATTGATAAAAGATGTGATAGACGGTTGTGATTAAAGATGGGATTTCAGATATGAAATTTATTGGGTCATAATTAATAAAATGAGCTATAATTGACACATAATTGATGGGCAAAGGCGTTGACTAAGTAGCTAATTTTCTATGACTAACGGAAAGGTGTCACTAGGACCAAATGAAATGATGTGAAGTTGTGAAAATGGTGTGACCGAAACTTTGATTTTAAGTCGCCTACATATCTCTGATTTTACGAAAATCAAATCGTGTCTAATTTTTAGATTTAGAAATGAATGAAATTTCTAAAAATGAAAGAGTGGTACAAGATTCAAATAGAAGGGATAGCCGCTTGAATAGATAACAATAGAGCATAAGATGATATGACTAGTGAAAAAGGATAATATGATTCTTATTGTGGCAGATATATAAGTATGGAAGTGGTATATGAGAGTGAGAGTGATTTTGCTTGTAATTTGTCACGCTTTGCTGCCTGTAACACATGATATAACTAAATGAAATGATTAGAGCATATATATGTATCAGATAATGATAGAATAAATTATAAACACGATACAAATTTTCATTTAGATCATGATATTGTAATGACCCGGAAAATTATTTTTGAAAATTATCATAAAGATTACCGTTTTATCCTTCCAATAGTTGCTTGAGTCAATTTTGATTCGTCGATGAAGTTGGTTTGAATTTTTTTTGAAGCTATTTGTTAATTACAATTGTTTAAGTTGACGGGTGATTTTAAATAATTAATTTTAGTTTGTGACTAATGAACTAAGTCCATAATTATTTATTAAAATAAGTTAGTAGAGTTTATCAATTTAGTAGTACATAATTATTTTAGAAGGAAAAAGGAAAAAGGAAAAAGGTCGGGGGAATACTCACCGCCGTCGCACAAATGCACTTCATTCAGGTAATGATCATAACTTAATATCGATGCAATTGTTCATTCTTTTCTAATTAACGAGCAGCAATGATTGTTAGAATTAATATTATATTGGTTATGAAAGATAATTAAGGAAGGTGGGTTGACTAAAATCAATATATATATAAAATTGAACTATGAGTGGGAAAAATGGGTTAAGGGTGCAATCATTGAATAATGATTAGTTGGTAATCATTGGACAGTGAGTGATCTTTGGGAAATTTAAGTGAGGAATAGCGATAGTTAATTAGTAAACGTACAAGTTGATGCTGGACGCATATTTTACCTTTGTGCTTTCTGTTGTAATTTAGAAATATGATATGACATTATTATTAAAGTTATGATATATTGATAGACCTAATTAAATAATAGTTTATTATGTTATATGAATATCATTAGATTTATGATATTGGGGAATTATGACTTAATCTTAGGCTTGAAATTTTAAGAAATATGAGACTTGACATATTACTTGGGATCAAGACTTATGAACTTGACTATAAATTTTGGTGAATTTCGGGTCTAGACTAGACACATAGTAGTATGAGTGTTGTTAGTTTTGAAATCTTATTGTGATTATTTATTCCAATAGATTGTATTGATTTGGAAGTCCAACGAAAGGGGGAGGCTCAAGTCCCGAAGTGATCGTTCCATTATTTGAGGCAAGTGGATTTTAAACTCTTATTAAGTGTATGGAATTTGTGTATTTCTTTGTAATATGTGTTTGGGGGTAATGAGACTTGGTGATGGGTTGACTTGTCCACATTGATTAATTTTAATGATGAAAAAGGGGTAATAAAAGTCAATGTGATTAATTGTTTGTGTGTGATGTGTTGAGAATTGTTTGGAAGACTTCGTTGAAGGACATTTTTCTAATAAAAAAATTAAAATTGGAATAGACCATGGATAAGGGCGAAGGATGGAGGTCTCGTACCAATAGTGTGGCTGGAATTGGTATGAGTACCGGTGTTATAAAGAGAAAGTTTATTACTATAGAATGCAAATTGTAATCCGAGAATGCCAAAGCATATGGGCATTAGATGGTATATTATTGACTTGATTTATTATGTGTGATTGTGATCTTTATTGAACCCGTGTACTTGTGATAGCTGAGGTGATTACATATCATATTGTTATTTATTGAGATGCATCATCCCTTTTATTGAAATCATATTGTGCACATGCATTGAGATGAAATTGAGTATAAGATGGGCACGTGGAGATCGTCCGTGCTGGGGATGGTGAGATGTTAAGATTATAATTTGGGGCACGTGGAGATCGTCCGTGCAGAATTTGTTTGATTTATGATAGTGCGTTGAGATCGTCCGCACAGACACGTGGAGATCGTCCGTGTCAGTATATGGACCTCGGGAGTCCCCCATGGGTCATGAACTCTCAATGTATTTCTGAGGAGTATCATGTATATATAGTTGAGATAGTACTTGGTATTGTGAGGCATATCATTTCATGGTGTCATATTGCATTGCATCCCATGACATCCTTCATTCTTGATGATTTTGTGTTTTATTAGTGGTTGGAAAGTACTTGATATTTGATTACCTCTATTTGATGAACTTGTTCTTGTGTGTTGCTGATATTGTGAGTGCCTTTTTTTGTGGAAGTTGTGATTGATGAATATTGAGTTTGTTGTTGAGGATATGTAATTTGTTAAAGCGATTGTTGTTGAGCTGGGTGCTATGTAAATTGTGAATTGTTAGGTTGGGTTGGTTTTATGCAGGTTGTAGCTGTGGAGGTTCAGTGGGTGTGTAAGTAGTACCCGTATTTTATTCCCTTAACTTGTGTTTAGAAGTTTACTTGCTGAGTATCGTGTGATTTGGTACTCACCCCTTGCTTCTACATATTTGTAGGTTACTAGCCCGGACCTTTGTGATATTTTCTCTTCTCCTTGTCTGAGGCTTTTTATGGAGGTTTGTGAGGTAGTTGCTTGTCATTTTAGCGGACCTTCTTACTCCTATTTATGATCTTGTTCTATTCTAGAAACATTGTCATTTGAGACTTGTGTTTTTCTTTTGAATCAATTGTAATACTTTAGAGGCTTGTACACGTGACAACCAGATTTTGGGGGGTATTTTTGAGTTTATTATAGAATTTCTGCATTTTATTGTAATGGTTGAGTTTTAGGCTGACTTTTCTTGGTGGGATAAGACGAGTGCCATCACGTCCATTTTTGAATCGTAACAGATATTTGCCTTAAGACGGTAAGGATGACGTCTTAGGCCATGATGTCTTAAGGACATGATATGTAAAATTTGAATCCTTAGGTCATAAAATGATGTATATAGACCATGAAATGATGTATATAGGCCATGGAATGATGAGATGATGACACCTTCATAACATTATAAGCATAAATTAAATCCTTAGGTCATGAAATGATGTCCGCAGGCCATGAAAATGATGTCTTTAGACGATGACACCTTTGAAACATGATAAGCAGTAATTAAATCATTAGGTCATGAAATGATGTCCGCAAGCCATGAAAATTGACGTCTCTAAACGATGAAAACTTCGTAACATGATAAGCAGAAGTTAAATTCGTAGGTCATGAAAATGACACCTTTAGATGATGACCTTCAAAACAATAAATAATAATTAAAAAGAGAGTATATATGTTCTTCAATGCAATTCGGATATTTAGTTAATGCGATTCTCGGACAAAATACAAATCTCGGGAATATTGCCATTTCTTAGACACAGTATGATTCTTGGGCTCAATGTAAATGCAATTATTGGGCTCAATGGAGATGCAATTCTCGGGCTCAGTGCAAATAAAATTCTCAGGCATAATGCAATTCTCGGCCACAATGTAATTTTTTGAGTGCATGCAATTTATCGAGC